AGCATGACGTAGTCATCTCGTTTTGCCACGTATGCTGGGAGAGGCTCGATGAAATCCACTATGTTGTATTGCTGGCCAAACTCGTGTATAAAAGTGGTTTGAACCTCCACCGGGATGTGACGCAGTTCTACCCAGAAATGTTCTCGCATCATCTGCTCTCTTTTCTCTTCAGGGGACAGTTTTTTGGGGAGCCATGGGTAGATTCGAACTTCTGACCTCCCACACCTCAGTCTTCTCCACTCATCCATGCACTTTTTATCTTGTTCAAACATACTGAGTATTGTATACATTGTGGAGGAGACAGGCTGTATTAAGAAAAATTGTTGTACAGCCTCCGGGGACCCCTTCAGCCCTGCGAGCTGTTTACATATCCATTTGATTTTTTTGTTTGTTGACATGTATGCTGCATCATCGTGGCAAAACCCAGTTACTCCCATGTTTCGTGTACACGTTATCCCTTTGTTCCAGTTTGTCCTGGGGGTAAGCCCTGACCAGCAGCCTTCTTCCCCCTTGGTCCATTACACACCTCTTAGCCGGTTGCATGAAGAGGCTTAGGAAGCAAGCCCGAGCCGGTGAGAGATTTCGCAATGGTATTTGGGTGTCATTTGTCTGTCCATCCTCCATTTTCCTGCTAACACACAACGTTTTTTCCAGCATTGTATTCTTCACCTTACTGACCCAGGTGGGGGTGGTCTCTTTTATTTCTTTTAATTTGTTGTTCTGTTCTTTTGTTTCCTCCTCTGTGAGGACCTCCCCCACCTCCTTCATTTCTGTGTCCGTCTGTGTGTGTTCCTCCTTTTCCCCTCCCTTGTCTCGGGGCCTGGATGTTTCTGACTCCCCCTGTTCTCCCTTCTCTTTCTCCACACTTGTCGCCGCATCCTCTTCTGTTTTATGCGATTCATCTGTCCTTGGTGCGTTGGCCACCCTTTTGTTTTGTGTCTCCTCCCGCTCACCCCCCCACCCTATTCTTCCCCACCTCCCATACCGCCCAGGCTCATGCCTCATCGCCCCCCTGTCATAGAGGAGGGGCTTGCCGTACTTGCCTCGTTTAATCGTCATACCACTTCCCATCATTTGTGTGGGTTACGATATATATTCAACTAAAGTTGTGCTCCCGTTCTGTTTGTCGACTGTTCTCTTTGTGATGACTGTTCGTCAGATTTTCTCTTGGTGATGACTGGCCGGGGGGCACCTGACAGAATCCCAAAGCAAACAAGACGGGGGGGGGGTTCGGGTCCGGGGGTTGGGAGAGGCCAGGCGGGGCTGTATACCAGAAATCCGCTTACTGGCTGTTACCGTCTTTGCCACCGTCTTTCCCCCTCCTCACCGCGGAGTTGTAGCCTAAGAGTCCGCTTACTTGCTGTAATCCTCCTTTCCCCCCTTGCCGCTACGTCCGCTTTTGCTTCTTTCAATCAGCCTTGGGAGAGGCTGTTCGCTGTTCCGCTTGCTGTAATCCTCCTTCCCGCCCCGTCTGCTGTGCTTCTTTCAATCAGCCTGCTTCGTTTTTTGTTGACCGCTATTCTCCCTCCCTTCGCTCCTTCCACTGTCAGTCCACCTCCCTTGGTCTTCCTCTCCCCCTTGTCGGGCTGCTATTCACTGCACCACTTCTGGCCCCCCGATGTGCCGCTGCCAGCCCTTGTGATCCAATCCTGGTCCTTCAATCTCAGGACAGCTCTGTCGTGCGTGCTTTTTTTTTTTTTTTTTTTTTTTTTTTTTTTGTGATCCGATCCTTCCTCCCGGTGCCCACTCTGCCAATCCCTCTCTCTCTCTGTTTCCTTCTAGCTCTCCTCTCTCCCTCCCCCACTTTCGCTCCTTCAACCTCTGTCGTGGTTTTTTTTTTTTTTTTTTTTTTTTTTTTCTGTTTTCCTTCTGATCCGATCCTTCCTCCCGGTGCCCGCTCTGCCAATCTTTCACCCCGGTGCTCCCTCTGTCAATCTCTCCCTCTCTTTCCTTCTAGCTCTCCTCTCTCCCTCCCCCCCTTTCACTCCCTTTCCCCAGTCGCCCTCTGTTGTGCGTGGGTTCCGGTGTTTACTCAATCACACTCTCTCTCTTCCTTCGTTCCTCCCGGTACTCACTCTGTCAACCTCCCGCTTCTTTCCCTCCCACTGTCCTTCCTTTCCCCTTCTCTCCCTTTTCCTCTCACTCCCTCTCCCCCTTTGCCTCTCTTTCGTTCCTTCTTACTGCAGACGCTCTGTCTGTGAAAACAGCAACGCGGGGACTTTTCCTTACCGACCCTGTGTTGTGCACTCTCTCTTTTCTCCTTCCATCTTCCTTTCACTGCCCTCTATCCCGTTGTTAATACACATGTGCCTTGTCTCCTATACCGTTGTTAATACCTTAGTAATACAAGTGTGTCTTGTCTCCTTTTCGTCTCGCCGATCAGCTTTTCCACTGTCCTGTAGTCGACAGCCGCTATGGTGGAACTTAGCGTCCCTCTCTTTTATCCCGACTACTCTAATCTCTCGTTTCACTGTTGGATCGCCGTGTGCGTATCCCCCCCTTTTTTTTTGCGCCGATCAGTCCTCAATTCTCCTCCTGCTCCAGCTCACTCACCGCGGGGGTATGTCTGATCCCACTTCGGACCTGCCTTTTCTTTAATCGCCTTCCCCCTTCTGATCTCTCAGTATGTGGCTCGTCTCGCCTCGTTTTCCCATACTCCGCTTCCCTCCCTTTACTCCTGATCTGCTCTAATCTGTAATTCCCCTGCCGTTCCTATCTTCTTCTTCTTTTTTGACACTTGTCTTCGTCACCCTCGATGCGTGCTCTTGGAGTCTTCCCCGTCCTTGCTCTTTTTCGACGACCTCCTCCCCCTCCTCCTCCTCCTCCAGCTACTACTACATGGGCTCCTGTTGCAGCGGGGAATAATACTATTCGCCCTCCCTTCCTGTTCCCATCCTCCTCCTCCTCCTCCTCCTCCCCTTCCCTCTCCTTTACACGCTGGGATTTGGCGGACAACGTCAGCAGAGCGCGATCTGACGTGTCAGACTTTCTGCAAGCTCGCAGGCAACTGGAGGAGAAGGGGAGGACGAGACGAGATACAAGAGAGTGAGGCGGAGAGGGAAAGAGAGGGAGAGAAAGAGGGTAGAGGACAGGGAGAAGGAGCGGAAGACGCCCACCTTGTGCACCCGATGCAAGGACCTACTCCATGAAAAGGGAAGTCCGCCGTCGGATAGGGCCCCGAGGTTCTTTCCACTTGTTCACGCCAGATGCCGCCACGTCATCCGACACGGAAAGGGAAATCCGCTGCCGAATAGGATCTCGAAGTCTCAGCCACTTGGACCCGCAAAATACCGCCACGTCATCCCACGATCACCCTTGTGTCAGCTGCAACCCCCAATCGCGCTCTGATTCCTGGATAAGATACCGGCACGTCATCTTACGATCACCCTTGTGCCGGCTTCAACCCCCAATCGCGTTCTGATTTTAATCTAGGAATTCAGTCGCCTTCCCCCTCCCGATGTCACCCGTCGCTCCACCCACTTCCCCCTTTCTACCTTTCCATCCAGTGCCTACTCCTCTCTGTCAGTCGCAATGTGTTGTTGATATCGTTTCCCATCTCAGTTGTGTCCCGTCGTTCAGTGTCGCGCTGACTTGTCTCCTGTTTTTGACGAGTATGTCCCGCTGCCTCCCCTCCTTGTCATGTTTTCCAGTCTCAGAGGCCGTCATGCCCGGTGTTCTTATCTTATGTCCACCCTCACGATTGGGCTGGTAAGCTTACTCCGTTGTCCACCATCAGCGCCAGGAAGCCTGGCACCTTCAGCTTTTCGCTGCCCTTCAGTCGGCAGCAGCTATGGTGGTGTGCACGGAGGCGAGGGAGTCCCTCACCCGGTCAAAAAACCACGTCGGCCTGCGGCGTGGTAACGGCCAGCGCCATCCAGTGCGGCCATTGAACACATTTTTTACAATGCCCAGGGTCCAGACCGGCTCCCACGTATTCTGATATCGGAGGGGACACCTTCCTGGTACTATTCCAGCTCAACCAGCTGGTGGGTACGCAGACGCGCGTCAGGGTCGCTACCCTGACGACCAGTGGTGTTCATGCGGAAAACACTTTGAAGAGTGTGATTTCAACAGGATCCGAACTCTGGTCGGTATTTTAACGGTTCATGGTCTACCGACTGAGCCAGACCCATTTGCTCAGTTCGAAGTTCAAAGATAATATCTCAAGGCCCCCGCCCTTTTGATTTCAAAAACCAAAAAAGAGAAAAAGGATGTGACGTAGGCGTATTTCCACTTTTTTTTTTTTCAAGGCTAATTCCTTTTAAGCCCAACCAATTCAATTACCTGTCAAATCTTGTTGCCTTGGGCACTAGGAATAGGGCCCGTTCGACACTCCTTGGGGCGTCCTCGGGGCCGAAGGAAGTTTCCTTGGGGGTTTTCAAGGAAATTCACGCCATCGTTCCACCTGTCCTCGGGGACGTCGCCCGAGGACATTTCCTTCGAACGATGTCAGACGAGAAAAAAGAAAAGAAAAAAAAAAATCAAATGTGTTTGAGGCCTTCAGTCAATAGGGTGCTGCCACGATCCAGTTTCTCGGTTGTAACGTCTCTCTACCCATGTGACCTCTCCTCTCCATGAAACCTGGATTCCTTTTTCCCAAGGGACCTCCCTTGGGCAAAAGGAAGAAATGGCTGGGGAATCCTCGGAGCCCAAGGAATTTCAATCGGAGTGTTTTCACTTTTCTTTTTCCGACTGCATCCCCGAGGATAGGTGCAACGAACAATTCCTCGGGGACTTTACGCGCCCGAGGAGTGTCGAACGAGCCCCAATGTGATATGATAGTGTGCTTGATTTTAATTTTAGAAAAAGGAGATAAAGGCTGTGACAAAGGCTTATTTTTCCACTTCAGGACAAAGAAAAGGATGTGATGTGATGCTGCGTTTAACTGTCGTTGTTGTGAAATTAACTCAATTTTAAATTTAAGAGTAAAGAAAGAAATCAACAATCAAAGTTATCACACTAAAATTCAATTACATCTCCTGTTGAATGCAAATTGACAGTTGGAAAGTGGAATCATGGAGACTTTTGAAAGCGCCATTAAGACGGGGATCTCCGATGCTGACGTGTCCGGCATCCTCATCAATACTCTTCTGGTGAAAAACATGACCTATGGAGAGTATTCTCTCTCCAATGGCAAGTCCCTTCACAGTTCCATGCTGGTGAGTCTTCTTCTTCTTCTTCTTCTTTTTTTTTTTTTTTTTTTCCCCGAGTCTTTCCCACCCGTCCACCCACCGTGCCTGCTTTGCAATGAATATACCGTCATGATGGGGGTGTGTTGTGTTTGACGGGAAGACAATAGTGGTACCCTTCCTACCAGGTTGGTGTGGTCGCGCTAATACACTCTTGATTGACTGAAAGGCGATCTGGCCTGAAGTATTCCCTTCATTGTGAAGAAAGGTGATGGAAATGGGCATCCCACGATACGGAAATGGGAAACCCAAAAGTCAAAGTCAGTGGGCATGAAGAAGACAGACAGGCAGGCGGGCACATAACGAAACAGACAGACAGACAGACAGACAGACAGACAGACAGACAGACAGACAGACAGACAGACAGACAGACAGACAGACAGACAGACGGCCGGCCGGCCGGACGGACAGACAGACAGAGAGGGAGAGAGGGAGAGAGGGAGAGAGGGAGAGGGGGAGAGAGGGAGAGGGGGAGAGAGGGAGAGAGGGAGAGAGGGAGAGAGGAAGACAGAGACAAGAGCACACAGACGGGCAGGCACATAAAGAAGACAGACAGGCAGAGAGGTAGAGAGGGAGAGAGGGAGACGGACATAGAGCGGACAGACAGGCAGAGCGGGAGAGAGGGAGAGAGAGACAGACAGAGAGAGACAGGCATACGGAGAGAGACACAGACACAGATAGACACAAATTGGCAAAAGAAGGCAGACAGACACAGGCAGTCAGGCAGACAAACAAACAGGCAGTTAGAGGAAGAGAGAGAGAGACAGAGAGGGGGAGAGAGGTAAGGAGTAGCGCACTGTCAGAACACTCGCATGTGTACACACGCACACACACACACACACACAGAGAGAGCAACTGGAACAGAGAGAGAGAGAGAGAGAGAGAGAGAGAGAGAGAGAGAGAGAGAGAGAGAGAGAGAGAGAGAGAGAGAGAGCATCAGTGCTGCGGGAAAAACAGAGGAAAGAAGAGTTTGTGTAAGTAAGACAAGGTCCCTGCGCGTGCAGCACAACTGTTCTTCAGTGAGTCTGCGGTGATGAAGTAGGAACGTGCTACAGGTTCATTACAATCCTTTTTGTCTTTTTTTCCCCCTCACTCCATGGATGAAGAGCAATATGATTTTTTTCTGGATTCGAACATTCACCCTGTGAGACTCAATGAGCAGTTGTAGGTGCACCATTCAGCCACATAGAAATTTCTATTCTTCCCTGCTTGTACTCGAAAAAGAAAAGTTCTTTAATTGATTTAGACCGCGTTGACTCACGAGAGAAAACTAACTAGCGCATGAAGATGAAGACAATGACAACCATAGTACAATATGAAGAAGAAGATGATGTGAGCTTTAATGTCGCTGTGAGGGACGCCGGGCCCTTTTCCTTTTCCTGGCTGGTATAATAAGCTAAACACTTGAGGATACAAGTTACAATCAGGTAAAAGAGAAGTACATAGCGGTGCTTGCTCATAGGAACACCCCTAGCATCGAGAAGGGAGTTAAAAAAAAAAAAAAAAAAAAAAAAAAAAGTACAAAGCACTGCAATGACAAGATTAACAAGTCAAATGATTATCAACTGTGAGTTCTACATTTCCTTTTTTTTTTTTTCTCAAAAGCTAGGAAGATTCTCATGCCCAACCGGCCCTGCCTGGCCAGGCACGCGGACGTGACTGCCGGGGGGGTCAGATGCCCGGGGTACCCGGGCATGCAGAAAAAGAAGATTTTTATTTTTGTGTGGTTTTCTGCGCTCTCCCAGAAGACCCCAAATCCGGGCTCATTTGTTTTTTTCCGAGTTGGCTGTCAAGGGGGGGGGCAGGGGGTTATAAATTGGTTTGAAGGGGCTAAAGGGGTCTATAGGGGGGTGCCTTTGTGTGATTCTAGTATTTTCTTTTTTAATTCCGATTCTGTGAGGAATTATAATGTGACCCTCAGCCAGAAAACGTTTGTATTTCTGTTCTACACAACATATTTGTTTTTGCAGATTTTTTATTTATTTATTTTTTTGCGCTGGGGCTGCCCTGAACCCTGCCCGGGGGTCATGCCCGGCCGGGCACCCGGGCGTGTACCGGGGCAGAAGTTGGGTGCCTGGGCGCCCGGAAAAACAGCCTAGCCCAAAATAATATTTTTAATTAGGGCCCAATGCCCAAGGCAAAATACAATTTTGAAGATTTGCAGATACAGGATAATTAGCGATGGGACGCTGGACCCGGTTTCCAGCACGTTATCTCATGATTCCTCATGGTTTTTCCAAATGTAAGGGACGCTGGACCATGTTTCCAGCAGGTGCTGCTCCCCACTAACAGATGGAGCCTGCGGTGGCTGCCTACCCCAGCACCTGTAGCATCACCCAGGGCGTGTTTAAAAAAAATCAAAAAAAAAAAAAGAAAAGGGTCACAAGGCCTCCGATCCCACTTCGTCAGGTGGAGCCCCTCCCCTGTAGAAAATGGCTCTCAGTCAAAAAGTAAATGAGAAAAAAAAAAAAAAAAAACTCTATACTTGCCAGTCTACAAAAATAATCTGAGAAAACGTCCACAAATTCCAAACAAAGGAAAAGGGAGGAAATAGGAACCGAAAATCACAAATACTTCAAAAGGACACGACTCCTACGTTTCCAATCCATCACACCCAAGAGGCCTTCAATCCTCCACCCTTATCCCTCGGCTTCCATCACCACCGTCTGGAATGGCAATGATAGTCACCGAACGGTCCACTGGAGAGAATTGTGTAATAAAGTTGCTTGTGAAGAAGAGGGAAAAAAAAAAAAAAAAGGAAGAGACGCAGGGATCCTCTCGAGTCTTTGAATTCTAACCTATATTTTCCATGATAACCCCGGACCCAGACACCGGACACTTCCGGACTGTCTTCTGGACCAGTGTCTGGACCGGTCCGGACTGTCCGGTGATCCGGACATCACCGGACACTGGACGTTACCGGACCCGGACAGTCCGGACCGGTCCCCGGGTCCCCGGGGTGCAAAAACGTCCGGACCAAAAAAAAAAGAAAAAAA